AATTGTCATACCATTCGAATTTCATATTAAGAATAACCCAAAAAGCAAATTATGCTCCCTTCGAACTGGTTTTCTTTAAAATGCAAATCTTTGTAATCCCGGGCTATCTGTAATCAGAAGCACATTTATAACTGGAATTTCATTTCATTTCATTCACATGCGTTTCATAAACACATAATCCTTTCTGGATTACAATCCGCCATCAAAATGATAAATTTAATTATTCCAGCTGCTGTGAGAAAAGGCTATAAACGATCCGTCACCTGCAGCATCCTCACATGCGATAGTCTAGTAGCCGCAGTGTTGGGAAGGTTACTTTGAAAATGTAATAGGTAGCCGGGACAACTTCTTTATGTTTACAGACGTGACGTAATGACGCAGTGCCATGCTCGAATTTCCCGCGAAAACCTACCCGTACCACTCAAATTAGAAAACATTATTATAAGCTAACCGTTGTGAATCGGGCTAAAGTAAGACGATAGTTTTGAACACTGGCTGGTTATGTACTTGCTCAAATATTGATTTCGGATTACTTTTAACCAAAAAAAGTTACGGACTGCAGCTTTAAATGGAGATATATGTTTAATATGCATTATGATTGGATGAGATCAAAGCATCCACATTTGATCAAGGTATAAATGTTGAGTTTGGGTTTTTCCTCTTGGTCGCACTCTGCAGTCAACTTGGATGACTGTTGAACTTTTCTTGCAAGAAAATAAATATTTAAAAGACTTTTGTCTCATACCTTTATTGGGAAAAGCAAAATTGCCACGACAACAACTAAACGCAACGAATAACCATTCGCTTAATTGCACCTACAGCACTTTATCCAAGGTTATGAGATAAAAACCATGCGCAGCCCCGTAGAGTGTATAAGCCCAATGGATGCGACTTCCCTCCTAATACTGATGTGGTATAGTCTAGAAGGCTAATATTCCCAGCCCCCTGTAAACTATATAGCCTACCTCACACAGGCCGCACAGCTGACAGCATGCACCGCTGGCCTTCGAGACAGAAGCCGTTCAAAGCCATGGCAAATAATCAATAGCCATTAAGGGACTTGATAACTGGCGATCATTGCCACTGTTTAACGCCCATTCTGCCGCCTCAGTGTACAGCAATACAGAGAGGTACCGAAAGCCCCTTGGCCTGTTGTCGCCATATGTCACATCATGCACAGAAATTCCATCAGGCAATGCAGATCCATAACACCATTAGAAATGTAGGCGATCTAAGAAACCAAATCCCTTCTATTCTATTCAAATACCAGAGAGTGAGTGGCGATCAATTAATTTAGCGGTGCATATTTAATTATATTCACTCAATCGTGCAGCGGAAATAAACAAATATGCCGTAAATGACTGGGGAAAAAATTATATCAGTGCCAATCACAACAGGGGCGACCGAACACGCTCAAATAAATCTTACCTGTAATGTCGCCACCAAGAGGGATCTCCAACCCTTAAAATACCCCCGGACGCGCTTGTCAGGTGAACGCAAACAGCTGATTAATGGAGAAAATCCGATGGCATGGCATCCACCTCTGAGACAGAATGGAGGAGAGCGGAGAGGAGTCGGGCTGCCCCTTCTGTGAATAGCGATGTAGGGCTGCGGCGCGCTGAAAGGCGCTCATATGAGAGGAGAGAGGAGGAGAGAGTGATGCAGCTTCACAACAAGCGCTCACGCCTGCCGCTCATCACCACAAGAAGAAGAGTGTTCACCTTAGAACGTTCGTCAACCAATCAGATTCAAACATTCAGCAGCCCCGTAGTAAAAAGCAACATCATTTATATGATTATGAACATTAATAATAGACAATGCACCCTTTTATGGACAGACATCATATTTCAGAGAGGCAAGGGAAATGTAAAAATAATAATAAGATTAATACAAAATTAATAGCCTAAATCTTGTCGTGTGACATGTGACGCCTCTTCAATGAGAAGAGCTAGGCCTATATGTTTTCATCCGAAATAGGCATATGTTTATTTAAGATGAAATCGAAGTGTTCTAGCTATTCAGGTAATGATTTTTAAACTTCTGTCTGCATGAAAATACTTCTTGCATTCCTCATAGTAAAATGTATGATTTATTCAAACACTCTATAACTAAAATTAACATATTTAATTAAAGTCAGTAACAATACAAATAAAAAAACAAGCCAGAAAAACAAAGGAACAGAGAAAATAAAAGTAGATGCACCATGTTTAAAATTGTGCCAGAGAATTCGTGTATGTCAAATGATTCAGCAAACAAGATATCTGCATAGAATGCAGTTGTTTTCCATCTAATGAGGAAGCATCAGCTAGATTCAATTCATTTCAATTCAATTCACATTTATTTGTATAGTGCTTGCCCATGTATAGCTCAAAGTGCATGTCCCATCTCAGGCTTGGCGCCTGGGATGTTTTCAGCTCAGGGTAACCCACCGCTGCATCAGAGCTGTGGCCCCTTGGAAAACTTCTCCTCGCCTGTTTCAATCTGGCATCCCATTGGGACTGACCTTCAGAAGGAAGGTGGTCACAAAGGATGCCTCCAACTCGGGTTGGGAAGCTCTGTACGAGGGCAGACCGGCGTTAGGCTCCTGGTCAAACCTGGAGCAACACTTACACTTCACTGCCTCAAGATGATGGCGGTTTTTCTAGCCCTGAAACCTTCCTGCCAGCCTTAATGGGGCACCATGTCCTGGTTTGTTTGGACAACATGACGGTGGTAGCCTTTATCAATCACCAAGGCGGTCTCAGGTCACGCTCCCTTCACAGGTTGGCTCAATGCCTCTTTTTATGGGCACAAGGCAAACTCCTCTCACTGAGAGCAGTTCATGTGCCAGACAGACTGAACCAAGGGGCAGACATGCTGTCCAGGGACAGTGTTGCTCCAGGAGAATGGAGATTACATCCCCAAACAGTTCAAATGATCTGGTCTGACTTCGGCAGGGCAGAGGTCGCGTCACTTCAGGGTTTTCCAGAGGATGCTCAGCCTCATGTCGGCCGCTTCGTCTGTGATTCCTCTGGGCCTGCTTCACATGCGACTTCTTCAGTATTAGCTCAAAGCATATGTACCATACCATGCTTGGCGCCTGGGAAGATTTCATCTCAGGGTAACCCACCGCTGCATCAGAGCTGTGGCCCCTTGGAAAACTTCTCCTCGCCTGTTTCAATCTGGCATCCCATTGGGACTGACCTTCAGAAGGAAGGTGGTCACAAAGGATGCCTCCAACTCGGGTTGGGAAGCTCTGTACGAGGGCAGACCGGCGTTAGGCTCCTGGTCAAACCTGGAGCAACACTTACACTTCACTGCCTCAAGATGATGGCGGTTTTTCTAGCCCTGAAACCTTCCTGCCAGCCTTAATGGGGCACCATGTCCTGGTTTGTTTGGACAACATGACGGTGGTAGCCTTTATCAATCACCAAGGCGGTCTCAGGTCACGCTCCCTTCACAGGTTGGCTCAATGCCTCTTTTTATGGGCACAAGGCAAACTCCTCTCACTGAGAGCAGTTCATGTGCCAGACAGACTGAACCAAGGGGCAGACATGCTGTCCAGGGACAGTGTTGCTCCAGGAGAATGGAGATTACATCCCCAAACAGTTCAAATGATCTGGTCTGACTTCGGCAGGGCAGAGGTGGACCTCTTTGTCTCAGAAGACAACTTTCACTGCCCAATTTATTTTTTGAAACAGCGAGATGCCCTTCCTCAGGTCATCAGAAGTCAGGGAAGTCAGATGCTCAGTCCTCTTGGTGGCCCCACCCTGGAGGAATCAGATGTGGTTCCCCGAGTTGATTCAGCTGCTATCGGCAGCCCGTTGGCTGATACCACTGAGGAAAGACATTCTCTCGCAAGCGAAGGGCATGATTTGGCATCTCCAGCCTTCATGTTGACCCAACCTTTTTTTTCCTGAGAGTGCACTTTGCAAACAGAATTTTTGAAAATACTGAAGAATTTAAATCTCAACCAAAATGATGCTTTTGGTGAAATTTCAACATTGCATGAATGTCATCTGGATATCTGGTTTGTTAACTTTTGTTTTGCTGAGACTTACATTAATTATTGTCTCAATATAACTTATCACAATGACGATGTAGCAAATTAGGAGTTTATTGAGGCAAAAGTCGTAATTAATGGTTTGTTAATAGCGAGAATTGGACCTTAAAATAAAGTGCGACCCTGCTTTTCTTTATATATTGGCAGTTTATTTCTCTCATAGATTCTTTTGATTCCTTTAACCTGAAAATGTTGCGAACGCAACGTATGCGTTTTCAAATGATCCACAGCGACCCCATGAGTCCGAGGCATTACATTACTTTGCAAATACTCGGCGGGTCCAATAGAAGTCATTTTCGTGGATGATGGGTGGCAATTACCGCACGTGAACCAATCAATACGCGTTCTAAACTTGACTGACGTTGATGATATCCAATCACGTGTCGGCGTTGAACAACGTTGTCCAATCCACGTTCTTTGGCGCAGATTGACATGCACCAAATAGAAAATCATTTGACAACGCTAGTTTGCGATATGAGAGAACTATGGCTTCCTCCTTGATTAAGTGGTTAAGAGGATTATATGTTTTTTTCTTAACATGTCTCCTGTCCGTCCTTGCTTTTTTGAATTTAGAAGAATTAAATGAAATGAAATATGGGATACAGATTCTGCCCGATCCTGTTATTATGGGACAGGTAAGGTTGTTTTGGCCAGGGATGCAGTTAGCTAGGCATGTTTATTTGATACAGACAGCTGTTAGCTTTATGCACAGCTTGACTTATCAGACATTAAAACAGCTTGCCTAGGTGACATCGTTTCATACTAAGTGTCTATTTGTCCAGTGCAGAATAGCTTGTGAAGTAACGAGTGGGGAAGTAGCTATGTGTCAAACAAAATGTTAGACTGTGCCTCCACAGGTAATGTTACTGTATGCTATAGATTTTACACATTTATAACGATATGCAGTTCGGTAAAAATCAGCATAGTGGTGTAAACTGTATCGCCACCTTTCCCTGGTTCTCTTTTTCTAATTCATTTTCTCTGTTTCTGTCACCTTCTTTCTGTTCCTGTTTTAGATGGAAGATGTGATGTTGGTCTCTAACAAATACAAGCAGCTGTATGAGTGTCGTTTGCCAGCTCAGGCAATGCGTTTCCATCAGGACCCGGTGTCAGAACCTGATGTTCAAGGCTACAGTGGCCTAGGAGTCCCTGATCTCCTCAAGCCCATGCAAACCGCACCATGCCTGGTTAAGGTTGACATAACCTCTAGTTCTATGTCACAGTGACTTACACACACTGGAATATACACAAATACTGAATATACACAACCACTTGCACTGGCAAAATTACCTTTGGAGTTGCCATGATTGTGTGGATTATAAAATCATTGCAATTTGACATAAAACATGTTTATTTTGTTCTGTTTTTTAGACCAAAGACTGGTGGACTTACGAGTTCTGCTATGGCCAGCACATCAGGCAATACCACTTAGAAGGTGTGTTAAATCATTAATGTCGTGTCATTATTAAAAATGATGTCTAAATTATGTTTTCCTGTTGTTTATGTTATATTTTAATAGGGAAAAAATGGCATTTTGGAGTTTTAGTTTTGCAGGATAATGTATAGTCTATAATGTGTATTTGCACTATTCAAGGCTTTTTTTTATATATATATTCCATGTCTGTAATTAAAGATTCTGAGATCAAGGGAGATGTGCTCTTTTTGGGATATTATGATTCTGAGTTTGACTGGACCAATGAAACTGCCAAGGTAAGGACAAAAGTTAATGTGCTTAATTTTTATGTATGTATTTATGTATGTATGTATTAAAATTGTATTTATTTATTTATTTATTTATTTAATTAATCATTTAATAGTTAGAGAATTCTGATATTACCAACTATTTTCCATTTATTGCTGATTGTCAATATTAGTAATACAGGGGGCAATATTATAAACATATTAACCCACATCTCCAGAAGTATACTATTTGCATGCCATCTTTGTAGTTATCTTCTTTATATTTCTGTACTTGTCTAATATACAGGTCTACCGGTCAAAAGTTTGGGATCAGAACGATTTTTAATGTTTTTTGCAGGAGTTTCTTATGCTCATCGAAGCTGCATTTATTTGATCAAAAATATAGGAAAAAGTGTAATATTGTGAAATATTATTATGATGTAATATAAAGTTTTTCTATTTTAATATACATTCATCACAGAAATAAATAATATTTTAAAGGATATTAAAATAGAAATCATTATTTTATATTGTAATAACATTTTGCAAGATTCATGTATTTTTTGATCTATATTTGATACTGTATTTGTTTTTTCTGTATTTTTGATCAAATAAATGCAGCCTTAATGAGCATAAGAGACTTCTTTAAAAAACATTACAAGTCTTACTGATCCCAAACATTTGAACGGCAATATATATATATATATATGTGTGTGTGTGTGTGTATATAAAAGATGCATTTTATATTTTTTAGGCATCTAAGCAGCATAAGCTGAAGAGGTATCATAGTCAGTCATATGTCAATGGCTCTAAATGTGACTTGAACGGGAATCCCAGAGAGACAGAAGTCAGAGTAAGATTGCACACACTCACAAATGTTCACCAGTGTTAAAAAAAATGTACTATTAAAGTCGATCTGAAAGCACAGTACATAACCAAATATATGTGGGGACTAATTAAGACAATACGTAATGCCACAGTATGCACTGCTGTTGAAAAGGTCGGTACGATAAAAAAAAAAAAAAAAAAAGAAATTAATAGTTTTATTCAGAAATAATACATTAAATTATCAAAAGTAATAGTTAGGACTTTTACATTATGAAAAAAAATAAATTTCACGAAAATATTAAACAACACAACTGTTTTCAACATTGATAATAACTAGAAATGTTTCTTGAGTGCTAAATCATATTAGAATGATTTCTGAAGGATCATGTGACACTGAAGACTGGAGTAATGGCTGCTGAAAATTAATCTTTGCCATCTCAGGAATAAATTACATTTTAAAATATCTTAAAATAGCAAAAGAGTTGTATTAAAATGTAATAATATTTCACAATATTTTTCTTTATTATTAATTGAAACAATGCAGTCTTGGTGAGCATAAGAGACTTCTTTCAAAAACATTTAAAAAAATCTTACCAACCCCAAACTTTTGAACAGTAGTTTACAACAGCACACTACATTGTGTGCATGACTAGGAGCAAACCACTGCAGTCATTTCCCAACATCTATGGACCTTTTTCACATTTATAGGTTTCTCAGCAGGAAGTCATCATAGTTGGGTAAACTTTTATAGTGGTGAATGGGAGACTACATCAAATATATATATTTGTGTTCCCATTCCCACTCAAATAGTAAAAGAACAACTTCACGATAGTGTTTTCACAACTTTCAAAAAGAGGAAAAAAATAGAGAGACACTGATAACAGCATTCAGAATAGAAAACAATGTCCAAGTTACCTTCACTCCCATAGATGCTGAATTAAAAACAACCTAACAGCAGCGATAACTCTTTTTTTTTTTTGTAATTTGATGCAATGGTAATAATATAAAAAGTAAAGTGATATAAATTTACATACACTTAAAAAAAAACTTTATGCTGATGACCGTTAAAACATGTCATCACAGTCTGTGAAAAGGGTTCTATTGGAAAGCCTTCCCAGCGGAGCTGAAGCTGTTAGGGAGGGCTGAAGTAGTTTTGAAATTGAATGTTAAAAAGCCCATATAAATGTGCTAGATTGAGTGCTCATATAGTGTAGGTCAAAGCCATCGTTAATGACTGTGAAAATGTAATTTATGACTCTGAAAATATATATTTTTTGGGAATGAGTTATTGCTCATGAGTTAGTGGTAATGATAATCTAAATTAATGTGTTTTTCTTTGTTTTGTTTTTTTCAACAGTTTGTGTGCGAAGAGGGCTCTAGTGACTATATCGCAAGGGTCGATGAACCTCAGTCCTGCCGCTACGTCTTAACAGTACACACCTCTCGCACATGCCAGCATCCCCTCCTGCGCCCACCTTCCACTGCCAAACCACAAGGCATTGTGTGCCAACCTGCTCTCAGTGCCCAGCAGTATATGGACTATGTCAATGCTCAAGTCTGTAAGTATGAGAGGTTCTGTTTTTTCCCTCCATCAGGGCCTTGTCATTTAATTTAACGATAGACATATTGGGCAATATATCAAATACATCTAATGTTTCCAGTGACTTTATTGGTGATACAAAATTAAGTTTAATTTGCTTTTATATAGCTATCAAGAGCATGCCTTTTGACTGGTTTCACAATCTTTCCTTGTTGTGTTACACAATTATGCTACATTAAGACTTAAAAAAATCACTGGAAAAATGGTGTTAAGATATATTTTTGTGAATTGAAACTCTCTTTTTTTATTTGAGTTGACTTTTTCATATATATGTTTGTGTGTATGCATATATTATATAGTATATATATGTGTATATGTGTGTTATTTTTTATTTTTTACAACATTTTGACTGTATTGTGCTTCTTGCATTAAAGATCTTTGACTACTTTGTTTAGTTGAAGAAATGGAAAGAACACCCTTTAAATATTGAAATATATATTGAATATATTCAGAAGGATAAAACACATTTGAGATATTTTTTTAAAGCTATATTAGTACTCGGCCCTAGTTCTAGCACACCAGATTTACACCTTAGTCACCTAGGAGAGATGACCTGTATCCTATAATTTGTTAATTACAAGAGCAGGTAAAGCCCAGAATACTGTAACTTCATTATAACAGTTGCTGGTTTCACCATTTTATAGTGCTGTAGAGGAATATTGTGCCAATTGGCTCAGGCTTGCTTACATGGTACGCATTCAGGTTCATGGAGACCTTCAGAAGCTTAATCAGACTTCAGGAGGAGTCTGATTTTGAGGCATGATTTTTTTTCTTTTCACTCATTACACTATTCATGGAAAATGTCCCCACTGCGCAAGTCAAGTCCTGTTAGATGAGCTCTCCAGAGATGCAATCAACCTACATTTAATCTAACTTTAATTGATGCATTATTTTAAGCTCATTGTCATCTCTCTTTGTAGCAACATTCCCTGTTTCTCTGTACTCAGCTGACACTAAACGTAAAGTGGAGCAGATCTCGGAGGAGCTCAAGAACCTGGATGAAATTCTGTCCAAGGATGACAAGAACAAGGGATTGCAGGACGACAAAACCGATGAGGAACCTGTTGTCCATTCAGATGAGCCTCCACTTTCAGAGTCAGAAACAAAAGGTTAGCATGCAATGATTTGAATTTTTTATACTTGTTTGGTCAGTCTAATTTGACTTAGACCATCCACAACACCCTTTCAACTACAATCTCTCTGAATCCCTCACCTAAATCATGCAGTTACAAAAGAATACATTAGGTGGTGCTGTGTAAATGTGACATTGATGTGGTGAAAAGTGATGCCATGTGCTTTCATGACTTTTTTGTACTGAATTATACTATTACAATGTTCACTTTCAAATCGTCATCTTTTAATAAAACATGCTTGTATGTATATCTATATCTATATATATAGTGTATATATACTGTATACATTTTTTTCTTAACCTTAATATTTAACATTAACATTACTGTTCATTTATATTATACAGATTTTCTCCAGGTTAGTCTTTTACTGTCTTAGTTTTTCTTTCTTTGTCTTTTTTTTTTTTTTTTTTAGCTTTCTCGCTTTTGTTTTGTTAGCAGCTTCTGTACAGCATTCAAACAGTACGGTGTTTGTGTGTGCATTTATATGTGTTACAGAGGATGAAGTAGCTGAGGGGGGCCTAGTGAGAGAAGAGCCAGAGGACAAGGACTTCTGGGAGGGAGTTACCAAACCAGCAAGCACAGAGTCAAGCACTGACTCAGAGGTACAGCATCGTTTAAAGCAAATCTTCAATCTATAATATAAACCATATACTCTTTCTATTACCTTTACGCTTGTTTAATTAACCTTTTGAGGGGGCACTGATCATTACTGTGATCTACAACTGTCTTACAGGAGCCTCAGGACAGCCAATTACATGAAAATGACAGTAAGACAATTATTCAAAGTTTAAATAGACTTTAAATAATTTTTGTGACAAACAAAAAAAATATAGCATCAATCAAGTTGTCCTTAAATTAAAGCAGTGCACCTTCATCTTTCTTTTTCTCTTTAGTATTTGGAGAGGAAAAATTTAATTTTAAAATCATCACAGACCCTGCAGACCTCATGAAATTTGTACAACATCTCAGAGAGAGCAACCAAAAAGTAAGTATTTTTGAATCTGGATACAGGCTTTGACAGAGGCTGATTTATCAGTCAACATCTAGCCTTCTGGAGAATATTGGCCAGTAACTGTGGAAAATAACTAGGCAAAAATTGCAAAATCACCTATGACCATTGCATGACCATTGTCTTGCAGTTTTTCTAAATTTACTGCCATAAAGTGTTTCTAAGACACTTTGTCAAGTAAAAAGCCACTCACCCATTAAAAACATGTATCGATCAACCATTAATTTCTGTGCTCTATGTTCAGAACAGGAAAGCTGAGCTGGAAAAAGAGATCCAGCAGTCATCTCAGAAAAAAGAGGAGCAGGAGGAGGAGAAAAGAGAGGAGAGGGCAGCAGGAAGGGAGGTGGAGGAAGAGGAAGGGGATGAGGATGAAACATTGCTGCAGGAATTTGAAGATGAGATGGCAGATCAGTCCGTTCCCTCCTCCAAGATAGAAGAGATAAAAGAAGAGATGCAGAAAGAGTTTGACAACATCATAGAGGAAGTATGAGTTACTACTGTTATAGCCTGTTCTTGTACCAATCAGCCAAAAGCTTTGGCAGTAAATATACTCTATCATGTTTTTATCGCCCAGGCTCAGCAGGAGTTAGAGAATGAAGGTCTTAAGGGCGAGTTTGATCGCTCTCAGGCTACGCAAACTCTAGAAAACACACTGGGGAAACTTCTGGACCGTCTTGAAGACAAGACTGGACATGAGAGTCAACTAGAAACAGAAAAAAATACAGAAATGCATAAAAGCACACACACACAGCATAAGACAGAGGGAGGCCCTTCTGCTGGCAGCCCAAACCTGGTTCCCAAAACACCAGGTAAATATACATAATGGATACTGAGTGAACAGGTGCATGAATGAACTGATGGTAGAATGGATGGCACCTCAGGCATTCATAGAACCTGCTTTTGAGCATATTATACTATACATACACATACACATACTGTATGTATATATAGTATATATATATATATATATATATAGTACAATGTCTGTAAATTTGTGTATAATGGATATGGATATATATGCATTATACAGTGGCCTCAAATCAATAATCTTAAAAAAAAACGTTGATGATAGTCCTTTTCACTTTACTTAATTTTAAGTGTTTAACCTTTGACTGCTCGCAAAGACAAATTACTGGATGCAAATGCTTTTATCTTAATTTTAGTGATAACATTACTGTTCAATAATTTAGGGTTTGTAAGATTTTTAAAATGTTTTTAAAATAATATTTTGATATTATAATTTAAAATGTTTTCTCAGTTTTTTTTATTATAATATATTTTAAAATATAATTTATTCCTGTGATGAAAAAGCCATTACTCCAGTCATCAGAGTCACATGATCCTTCAGAAATTATTCTCATGCTGATTTGGTTCTCAAGAAACATTCCTTATTATTCTCGATGTTAAAATAAGATGTGCTGCTTAACATTTTTGTAAACATTTTTTCAGAATTCTTGATTAATAGAACATTCAAAACAACAGCATATATTTGAAATAGAAATATTTGTAAAATTATATTTTTTTTACTGTCGCTTTTGACAATTTAATGCATCCTTGCGTTAAAAAAAATTTCTGACCCCAACCTTTTGAATGCTTGCATTAACTTATAATCAGCAAACTATGGTCCAAATACTTTGTGGGGCCACTATATACTTTATCTGTATACTAAATCATTGTCACCACTAATACTATACAGTATCATTCTGTTGTGCAATTGATGTTTTTAGAGAGAGACTATATTACATAAAATATGGAGGGGGAATTTTCTGCCGTATCCGCGGTAACCTCCCCTTCCCTCTGTCTCTCATCACCCAAGCCCAAGCGGGCAGCAGTGGCGAGCAGGTAAAAGTCAGGGTGACTAAATATAAGGTGGGTGGAGGTGTGGCTGCAGGAGCGGTTACCGGGGGCAACGATGATGATGATGGTGGTGAGGGGGGTGTGAAGGTGAAGGAACTGGGCGAGGGCGACCCCCAGTGGCAGCAGATTCAGGAAGTGGTCAAAGAGCAGCTAGAGAGAGCCGGCATCAAGGCCGAAGGTAGGCCGGAACACACACACCTAAAGTATTCTTATTTCCCTGTGTGTGTCTTTGTGAGTGGAGCAAAGACTTTATCTTTCATCCACAAAATCTTAAATTATTCTTCTGACTGGGGCTGGGTTTTGCTCTGAGTAACTTGTTTCCTCAAATAAGCACAACTTTTCTTCTCTTTGACTCTGTTCCACTAAGGCACATCTAAACTTCATGATTCCAGTAATTTTGTTTTTCCCTTGATGCTGGCTTATGCATGGCTGCAGAGAAAGGAGGAGGATGTCCTTTTCTGTCTTAAGAATGGCTTTGAAAGAAGAAAGCATTATAGGTTTCGTGTACGCTCACATTTGTCAGTAGAGGGTGGTGGCTGTTGCTCCTGTTTTTCTGGTTTTGGAGTAGAGATGATTTTTAGGCTGACAGAATGTGAAAATGTAGGAGTATGACAGCACTTCATTTGTCTTTCCTACATTCCATAGCCTTCATTACCATCTCTGCATGCATCATTTCTGTCTCTACTTATTTCTTTTATCAACTGTGTGTATGGGAATGAAAAATAATCATTTTGTTTTTTGTCTATTGTTAAACTATAAGAGTATAATTGTTTACGTTAACATGTGAATGATTAAGGATTTTTGGGCCTGTTTTTCAGGAAAGATTGAGGTGAAGATTTTAACCCGTAAAACAGCAGAGGAAGCAGGAGACCAGTGGCTCACTGAGGAGGATACAAAATCATTTAGAGAGCTTCTCATCAACCTTCTGGTATGACTCTATACACACAACTATACAACAAGTGTTCACCTGCAACGTATAAAAAGCAACACATACCTGCAAGTTCACTAAAAAGGTCATATAGAATAAAATTTCTTCATCGTTTGAGATAAAAGAGTTCATTGCACAATAAAAAGTGTGACATGCTCACATTTACCCATCAATGAGACCTATTCGGTATTCCGGTAAACTGAAACCCACCTAGTCACAGTAAGGTACTAAAAAGAAAGCTTCATAGATACTGTTTATCATTTGGTCACATTTTTGGTCACACCCACAATTTCGAGGGTAAAAAGGTTGATTGTAAATAGTGTGGCAATGCATGAAGCACAGCTCACACAGAAGTAACTTTTTTTAAACCGAGCAGCTTTCTATTGGTTGATGTGGCAAATTCAGGGAATTGTTTTCACTTTCACGCAAAACTCCCATTTGTGCAGGAATATAGCCTGTGAAATTTGACCAAACAACTGTATGTGAGACCACACCTTAACAGCAAATAATAAGAGTAAAATGTGGGAATGTTGGTTGAACATTGTGTTTCTAGCCATGTGTAGCACCTGAAACTTTGCATATTTTCTGAAGAATCCCAATATTACAAACTGCAGATTTCCGCATGGATTGTTTTGTGAACAATGTAATGCTTAATTTGTACAGAATTTTATACTGGACCCAACAGAAAACCTATTGTCCAGAAGTAAATATTAGAAGACGGCCTTTAAAAGCAAATATTAAAGGGGTCATATGATGCGATTTCAATTTTTCCTAGTAGACTACAATGCCGGCTGTTCTGACTCACAGACTGTAAGTAAGTTTTTTTTATATTTGAAGAATTTGCCACTGACGATTCAAACGTGAGTTTTGAGCAGTGTAGAGTAGCACTTGTTGTTTGTCATTTCTCCGATCACAAATGCAGACATGGTTTTATGTTTACGTGGCGCGATGCAACGCAACGCATAAAAAGACAGTATAAGTCATTATAATCCGTAATTATGTCCCCACTGGATGCAACAAATGCCTCGTTTATAATGGGTTTTAATGTTTATGTCTCGGCACTCCGGCCGGGACACACCATCACAATATAGTAAGGGGCGTAACATTTCCGTCACACGCTTGAGGTATTCGGCCAATCACAATGCACTGGATAGCTGGCCAATTCGAGCACACCTTGCTTTTCAGACCGATGAGCTTTGTAAAAACGTTTCAGAAAGGCGGGGCATAGAGGAGAAACAATAATGTACAGTATTTGGAAAATAATGTGTTTTTTGAACCTTAAACCGCATAAACACATTTCATTACACCAAATAATGTTCTTTTTAGCAGCATCATATGAAAGGCAAAGCAGCAAAAATTTAATAGGCAGAGAAAGAGAGGGAATTATGACTATTTTAGGTGCACAATTGTTATAATTGTGAGTTTAATTAATTTAAAAGAAAATGCATGATGTGACCCCTTTAATATAAATGCCCCTTACACATTTTAGTGTCATTTAAGGAAAAGGCCTTTTTCATGCTTTGTTTCTTACATTCAGCAGGTAAATAAATTGGTGTTTACTCTTTTTGTGTGCAGACGGGAGGTACAGAAGAAGTATACAAAGAGCAGAAGAGACAGCAAGATTTGGAGAATAACTACAAATTTGTCTGGGGAGAAAAACAGGAAGAGAACCAGTCCACAGGAAACAGTGATTCTGATGAAACAGACTTTTGACTCTTTTCCTCTTCTCTCAAGCAGTTAACCTGAAGAAGGGCATCCAGCGTTCTCTGAACTATAAACTGCCTGGTCGTCACATGCATCAAAACCAAACTGCTCTCTTAGACCATTTAAGTCATTTGAACCCTGTGAGGGATTCAGTCCACTGCCGTGAATTCCTATTTTCCTGAATGGGCATCTGTGAGTGGTTTATATTCTTGCCTGATTTCAATCTTGGAATTATTTTTTTTTTAACAAATATACAAATATACACATTTCATTTGTGTTGTGCTTTATGTCTGTGTGTGACACAGACCATTCTCCTCTCTCACATGCAGACAAACCATCAGTTAGTATGCATGTCAAAGTTTGTTTTGCAAAGACAGTCTGAACCAACATGTTCTCATCCTTGGACAAACAGTGATTTTGTTTGTCTTGGTTGCTCTTGAAAGTCAGAAAATCTGGATTCAGTACAGTATGGCGGTGGAGCTTGATGCAGATTGAATGAATGATGAGTCACTGTAATGCAAATTGAAGCAGTGTCCTACCAGTGTTTTCTTCTGGCGCTTAATTCATATGTTGTGTTTTGTTTTTAATATTGTTGGCCACTGGTTCACAACTGTGGCAAACATCTACAGCTATTCAACCAATCCTGAGCCTGGCCCTGCCCTAAGCAAATTATTCAGTGTACTGCTTCAGTTTGGTCTTAATTCTTAGTTTAGAACTTGGGACAAAAACTGTTGCCAAACATTGGGAATCTACTGCATTTAGCCACTGCTTCCATGTTGCCAGCAGACAAGGGCTGTCTTTGTTGTAAATGTTTTGAATGATCATCATACTTTGGTCGATTGTAAATAATGTTGCTACAGCATTTGATTTGTTTATTGATAATTTAAGGCATACTTTCAATTTAAAGCTTCTGTAAGCAATTAAGTAAAAAAAAAAAACATGCCACTGAAATATGTCTTGAGACATCACACTGTCTCTGTGAGAGCCCCTGTGGTTGGCAAACAGTAAATTAAAGTAGAAGAAAAAATCTGACGGCGGCCCAATCAGAGAACCTAGTAGCGGATCTCTGTTAGTGGTGTATGTTTGGGGCGGAACTACTTGTTTGTCCAAACAATTGGACGCTCAGAAAAATCACTTACAGTAGCTTTGGGTTTTTAAAGGTCACCCCAGCAAACACAACGTTCCCCTACCGTTAGTTTTTGGTTCCCTTTTTTTTTTTTACCCAAATACTACATTCTGGGAACCAAAAATTGTTAGCTGGGCCACAAGATACGAGATTTTTGTACTACTAAAGAAAAGTTTAATCTCAGAAACCTGTTGAAAATACATTGCAAATTCTTGTGTGAAAGATGACTGAACAATAAAATGTACGATATGCTGTAGTCTACAATAAATATTAGTTAATTCATAGGTTTAAACAATGTTTAGCCTTGAAGGTCTCACATTCAAATTACAAGCTCACATCGTGTCTTCTGAGCATTGTGACAAAAAGCATTTTCATTCTGGTCCCAATTTTATTGTAAGTAAAATCTAACAATTGATAGTATACTTATATAAATATAAGTTAATATACAATGTGAATAAATCGGGTATAATATTATAAAATGGCGTATAAAGTGATATTAACCTAATTAACATAACACAAAATATACCCCTGTTACTGACAGCTTTCGAAATAAAAGTTACATTTGTTTTTATATAATGCTTGATTTAATAAAAAATAATGAATTGGGTTACTAAAATTACTTGAGTAAATTTTTGCAGAGTTCCTCAGAGGCAGGGGCTCAAATGTAAAATAGGGGCAATTAAAAAAAAAAAAAAACAATTAATGGTCAAAAGTTTGGATACATTTTATGCAATGTTGATTTATTATCAATGTTGGAAATGTGATACTTTTTTTTCAGGATTCTTTGATGAATAAAAAGTTAAAAAAGAACAGCATTTATTTAAAATATAGCTTTTGTAACAATATACACTACCGTTCAAAAGGTTGAGGTCAGTATTAATTTTATATTGCAAGAAGTCACTTATGGTCATCAAGCCTGCATTTATTTGATCAAAATTTTAATATACTTTAAAATATATTTTATGCAATGTTGATTTATTATCAATGTTGGAAATGTGATACTTTTTTCAGGATTCTTTGATGAATAAAAAGTTAAAAAAGAACAGCATTTATTTAAAATATAGCTTTTGTAACAATATACACTACCGTTCAAAAGGTTGAGGTCAGTATTATTTTTTTTTTAAAGAAATTAGTTTTTATTCAGCAAGGATTTGTTAAATTAATAGAAACAGTGATAGTAAAGATTTATATTGTTAGAAAACATCTCTATTTTGAACAAATGCTGTTCTTTTTTTAACTTTTTATTCATCAACGAACCCCAAAAAAGTAGCACAGGTTACAAAAAAATAATTAAGCAGCACAATTGTTTCAAACATTAATAATAAATCAGCATATTAGAATGAGTTCTGAAGGATCATGCACTGAAGACTGGAGTAGGCTAATGATGCTGAAAATTCAGCTTTGCATCAGAAATAAATGATATTTTAAAGTATATTTAAAAACATTCTTTTAAATTGTAATAATATTTCACAATATTACAGTTTTTTCTGTATTTTTTATTAAATAAATGCAGGCTTGATGAGCATAAGGCACATTCATAATGCTGTTACTGAGAAAAAACAAGATTTGGTTTTTAAAAAGCCTTTTTCCAAAAGGTACATCTGGAAAAAAGGGGGGTCGTCTTATAATCAGGGTCGTCTTATATTCGGGCCAATACGGTAAGTGAATGGAATACTGATTACCATTATTGCAACTTTTGGCGCTGCACGGTTTTGTGCAGTCCTTTTGTAGTCATTTAGCATACATTTTCTCAGCGATGTAGGCCTAGTTTGACTTATAAAATTAGACAAACCGCAGATCCAGATCACTCCACAAATAAGCTCGTCTGTCCCATGTCAAGCTTTGCATCACAGAAATAAATGATTAAAATAGAAAAACATTCTTTTAAATTGTAATAATATTTCACAATATTACATTTTTTTCTGTATTTTTTATTAAATAAATGCAGGCTTGATGAGCATAAGGCACATTCATAATGCTGCATAATTATCAAAAATGGTAATATAATAAAGTCGGCACGTCACCATTTCGCCAGCCTGCACTTCACATAATAGGCCTGTAGGTGGCACTTGGGCTTCATTAACTATGATAGTTTTATGAAATAGTAAACGGTGTAGCCTATCATACATAAATATAAGTGAATTGAATAATGATTACCATTATTGCGACTTTTGGCGCTGCACGGTTTTGTGAAGTCCTTTTGTAGTCATTTAGCATCCATTTTGTCAGCGATGTAATTTGATTTATAAAATGAGACAAACCGCAGATCCAGATCGCTCCACAAATAAGCTCGTCTGTCCCATATAATTTTCAACCGATTTATGAATAAAAACGGAAAATGACCGCTCCACTTCACATTGTTTTCCAATGAAATTTGAACTTGTGCCAGCCCATAGGAAAGAAGAATCTAAATTGAGATTTCTTTAACATTTCAAATATTTCTCCTAGACAGAAATGAGGTTACTTTAAGATTGAATGTAGATTTATGCTTGAGTCTCCTGCTTCTCAAAGTTGTCTCCTGAGACAAAAACTCTAACACTCTCATATATGAAAGTATATTTAAAAAACATTCTTTTAAATTGTAATAATATTTCACAATATTACAGTTTGTTCTTTTTTTATCAAATAAATGCAGGCTTGATGAGCATAAGACACATTCATAATGCTGCATAATTATCAAAAATGGTAATTTTCGCCAGCCTGCACTTCACATAATAGGCCTGTAGGTGGCACTTGGGCTTCATTAACTATGATAGTTAAGTTTCATGAAATAGTAAACGGTGTAGCCTATCATACATAAATATACCGTATTGACCCGAATATAAGACGATGTTTTTTTCTTGGAAATACATCTGAAAAAACGCGGTTGTCTTATATTCAGGGTCTAGACTTTGACATGTCAATAATACACCCACAACAATAGGTGGCGCCAAATACGCATAA